GATTTTTTGTGCCGAATGCCAAAATGCTAATCACACCTCTGTTAATGCTAATCACACCTCTGTCTTTTATCTTCTAGCATTTTGCATTCAACGTTGTTTTTCCTTCAAGATGAGGAGGAAGACATACGAAACACTGCCGCAGAATTTGCAGCTTTTATTTCTGAGCCTACAAGTAGTGTGACCTGCTCAGCGGCTATACCACTAGTGCTGCAATACATGGTGGAACATTTCTCCCTTATTCCAGAGTGCTGGGTTGCCTTGGAAACCATAACAAAGGGGCAAAAGTCCACAGAGGACGTTTTGAAAGTTTACGTTCGGTCGAAGTAAGAACTTTAGAACTGATTGTTTTGTTAAATGTACACTAGCGTTTATATTTGTTAAAGAGGACGCGCGATGCCTGTTAAAGGTTTCTTCGTATTGTTTGATGTTATTATTTGAAATAAACTGACTGTTTCCTTGCCAAATGATTATAGCGTCTTCATGTTCGGCATTGATTCTTTTAGGCAAATGCTGTTTGAGCAGGAGGACTCAAATCTGTACGCTGAACCAGTAATTTTAGCGAAAATGGCGGTCGACTACCTCAAGGTTTGTAAACTTGGCGCGTAAAAATTTGTACGGCTTGTGTTTTTAATCAGTGAACTGTTAACGCTCATAATCAAAATAAAATCTTGTCCTAGCACATTGTCTTATATATTTTACCTGCGTTACAAAATCGTTCAAAAACAAATGTTTAATCGATTGATAACACAGTTGGGAAACAGTTATTTTCAAGAGCATGCTGTTAAATGCCATGTGGAAACTGACTCGTCCCCCTCGTCTGTTTTTGTGACTATAAACGCTTTGCTAGTCTCTCGCCACCGATCCGCGACCGATCCACCACCTCCTAAAAGTGATAAGAACGACTGAGGAAGAGTCAGAAGTGCAAGGGGATGAATTGGGTGGGGCCAGGATGTAACGAGTACCCCTGAATTTCACTGCACCCGGTGTTTCACAAGCACATGAATTTGGTTTATTCCCGTAACAGCTACTGTATGGTTGTAGCAGAACGAACCTGTTCTTTAGCATTTAGCTCCTTTTTGTAAAGCAGCACTGTAATGCAACATGGATGATCACAAGCATCAAGTAGCAAATCTTACATATTAAAGTAATTTGTTTTTCCTCCTCTTACCACAGCAAATTGTGAACAAAATCCTTCGCTTTTCTGAAAGTGAGGCCTTGGATAACTCTCCATTTACTAATTGGTTTGTAACCGCATGCGAAACACTGACCAACAATGTTCAGGCGCTGATTAATTCAGGTATTTTACATAGTTATTTCAATATACTAATATCAACGGTTATACATTGAACTCACTCTCTGTCTTCTCATTACCTAAGAGTTTACAATTGTTTTGAAAATCAGAATAGTTATCTTACCTAGATAACTAACCTGAACTACAAATCGTTAATTTATATTCAAAGAGCAACAATCGGTGACAAACTTGTTGAGACACTTTTCTCAAACGGAGTTCTTTAGAGAACAAATAATCCTCGCCCCTATCCCCTCCTCTCCCCTTCATTCAAATTTGGCAAGTTTTTGGTTTCTTACAGGTACCTTGAACACCGACGCAGCATTGCTTGGGGGGATAGAGGAGGGAAAATTATGGTTGACGTTTGAAGCGCACGTAAATCACATGATGAAATTTGGATCCAGGGAAATTTGGATTTAGGGGGCTTTGAAAAGATCTTGCAGAAAAGTGGTTATAACTAATTCCAAACCAAAATTGTTCCTTTTGTAGGTATCAAGGAATATGGCTCTCTTCAGAATCCCAAACTCTACATTGTACGATTTCGTATAATGTGCATGGCTGAAGTGCTCCTCTTTGCTGTCAAGAGCGGTTTGCAGACCAGTGTCTGTTTAAAGGCCACCAATACTATGAAAGAGCCGCTTATGTTGATGCTAGAAGACCTTCCTAAGGTAACTCATGCTCTTGAAAAACACAAGTCAGTCCTAGTGAACCTTTATCGTTACTTGCAAGCTCTGCAGAGCAGAGTCAGCAAATTTCGGATGTTTTGATGTTTGTGTTTTATATAGCATGTGCAAATCAGCTTTCTCTCTCTCACGACCGAAACATTTATTGTGAAGTCCAGTGTAACCGTCTTCTCAAGTTTTGAATAAAAATCTGAATATTCAACCGTACGTTATCAATTCACAAACCTGTGATCTGTGACTTGATGTTTGTCTTGGATTCGCTGACTACCATTAAAAGGGAGCTTAAGCAACGACAATGGCAGCGAGGGCAGCGAAAACGCAGTCTAGTATTAAAATTGCACGATGACGTCTTTTTACATTTCGTTTTTTTTTTTCTCATATCAGTTAAATTTGGTTGACCCTGTGGAGTTTGAATAACGAAAGCCATAAGTTGCACAAGAAAGCAAAACCCTCAAGGATTTTGGTAGCACTATTACTGAAATGACGCCCTGGTGCAAATCGCGCAAAGGCCTTTCCTTAAACTTTGTCGCGTTTATCCCCACTGGCTTTAAAAGTCAAATGTAGGTAAATTTCCCTAGAGTTGACTTCTTAAGGACTGCACCCAAGTTAAGAAAAAGAAAGAAAAAGTTGTCATCTTGCGTTTACATCCTTCAAAAAACGTCGCATAAAGAAATCACACGTGGTAGTATTGGGCTGACTTAAAACAAATGTGGCAAAAAAGTGTACTGTGCGTGCAAAGTTGTTACCTTTTTTATTTAAAAACCTATTACTCTTTTGAAGTTTTCGTTGCCGTCGCCGTCGACGTTGCTGAAGTTCTCTTAGATTATTCAACAGTTCGATTTTGCAAGGAAAGGTTTTAACAGTTGATGAATTACTTGGTTTGGATTTACAGGTGAACGTGCAGCCAAGTTTGACAGAGTATGCGAGGAAGCTGAAAACTATACTAAATGAAACAGAGTTTGCTGTGGCGAGTGGGGCTTGCCGTAACACAACTTCTTTATATGATGTGGAATCGAATCTGAGTTAATAAAGCGTGATTTCTGTAGTATCATGTGCGTGAAATTGTCATTTTTGGATTGGTTTTATTTTAAAAAGCGTCTAACCTAATAGTCTTACAGAGCAGCCGACATTTGGCGAAATATTGGCAGTTTTCTCAGGCTGCTAAATTAAGAATAAGCAGTTGATAAATCAACTGGCAACCGGTTAAGTCGCCCGAAAGTTATGTCCCTCGAAACCAGAGTTAAGTCACCCGAAATACTGAGTCATGTAGCGCGAATTTTACAATCAGGCGAAGTGCACAGAGAAACAAATTTAATGAGTGTGTGTAATATATCTCGTTCTTTAAACCATCGTGAGACGAAACAAGCGGAATGAATGCGTAACATGCCTCGTTCTTCAAACGATGATGAGACGAAACAGGCGGCATATCAAGCTTATGTGTAATCTCTTACTCTTTAACCCTTGATGAACAACGTAACAAGCGCGATAAGTGAGTAATCTGCGTACAAGTATATAACCTCAGACCTTTCCAGCAAGTTAGTTATACACCCACGCCGACATATATATGTAAAAAGCCAAAGTAAAATCACAACGCGCGATCCACGCGCGCCGCGCATTTTTAAACCTCTCTCCTTGATGCCCTTCAGACGAACAAACAAGAGAAATTAGAGAATTTATAAGGTTATAAATTTCAACATTTGATAGTTTGTCAGTACCCTGCGATAATTTACAGGGTGTCGCCAAGAGTGTGTTTAGTTTTACTAGATTTAATTTGCTATGTTTTTCAATAAAAAGATCCACGTCTTTTCTGTTGAGTCCTAAAAGAAGAAACCCCATCAATGTAATCATTCTCAGCATTCTCTTGGCTCGGGTATGGCCGCTTTGTTGGATTAAAGTTTTTAATCTCCGTCTGCTTTTGTCATGGCGTGTAATGCTGGATAAGAAAAGCTTACACCGTTATATGTCGGGGGAAAAAGTGATACCTCCAGATGTTTGAGGGAAAAAAAGTGTTAACCAAACCCAATCACCCACACCTCCCCCGCCCCCGTCAAAAGTCAAATGGTCGACCCCTAAGAAAGACTGGGTCCAGGAAAAAGAAAGATGGCGGATGTTTATCGCGCAGAAACCCAGGTGGGTTTTCTAGTATCTCTTTCCCCCGTAAGAGGTGAATTTGGTTGACTTTTAGGGGTAGTCCATCCGTAGGGGTACTCAGTGGAGTAGTACGCGGAGTAGTCCGTAATCCGCGGACCGAGCGTCATCTTAAAGGCGTCATCGTTCTTCAACTCAACCCTATTAGATCCAGTACTCCTCTGCCTCTGCACAGGCTAACCAGGTTTTCATAGTGATGTAGTCATTCCTGAATTTTACATTTCGTGAAGGTATGCTCGTGACACTATCAAATATGTATCTTGTCGGTTATGACTTTCCAAGAACATTGTAACACCAGTTATATCGTAGATATTATCGTAGAATTGACATGAATCCTACAAAGCCAACGGTAAGTTTGTGTAAATCTTAATACTTCGAACGTAGTAACTCACTGTTAAATTCGATAATGTTGCAAGCATAATAATACGATATCGATTTTCCCTTCGACAGCTTTTTTGGTTGTGTTTCTCTTTAAGTTTACGGCAGATTAAATTGAACTTGAACCTGTCGTGCAAAGAGTTGACCATGATAACAGTGGTCGAAATACTTGTCTTTATACGTTATGATGAGCATAGATTTAACACTTCCATCCTCTATTGTCTTATATTTTGTGAAAAGTACATTTAAACGGCCAATGTAGTTTTCTAGCTCCTTGCTCTGATCCTTGCTCTTACTGAGCTACATCTCTTTTCCGTCTTCAAAATTAGCAACTGCTCTCTCAATATCAGACTTCCTAGTTGAAGTGTTCCTGTTTGTGGCTGATTTGTTTATTTTTATGTTATTAACTCCGCTTTAATTTAATTTTTCAGAAAGAGGGAGAGCTTAAAAAGTACAAGAACGTATGGTCTGGGTGGGGGAAAAGATATTTTAAATTAGAAAGAATGTATCTGCATTACTTTGAGTCCAAAGATGTGAGTATGTTTGCAAATGACGAGTATGCATTCTACAAATTGATTACTTGTTGTCATTTCAATCCTTTATTGTTCTATTGAATTGAAATACATGAAATGAGTCATATTTTGAACTGTGGATAAAGATATAAAGGTGAACACGATCTTCGCTGTAGAATGAACAACCTTAAAGTGGTTAAAAATCCTGAAAACATTCAGGCTTGCCCTACTGCTTTTTAGGTTCTTTTTCATTCTATTGCAAAGATCATACAGTCCACTTTCATACTTGTTCCCTTGTCATCCCAGGTAAAAACCAGATCTCACTTTGTGATCATATACACAATAGTCTAATGAAATTGTTTACCACTCTATATAAAAAATAATGTAATATTATTGCTATTTGTTATGTGGCTGGCTACTAATAACAAGCAGGCAAGATGAAATGAATGCTATGTTCTGATTGGCTGGTCAAGTGTGCATGACAGACCTATCTTGCCTGTTCAGGATTTTGGAAAAAACCTTGAATCCTTCTGGTTCCTGCTAGCTGACCGCCATGTCCTTTTACTCCGACTTGGTTTCTACAAGGACACCTTTCTTGGGTGTAGAACACAGTCAATATCAGGGCTTCTGATATTTCGCTTGGTCGCGGAGCCGTGAAATTCAGGTTAATCCGCGAAATCTCGTGAAATTCCTAAAAACATGCGAAATACCGTGAAATTCGGTAGAAATCTTATTAAATACATGTCTGTACAGCAATTTTGAAAGCTACTGGGGGTATTTACTTGCCATAAACTCGCAAATTTATGTCAAAACTTCGTCACTGAAATGTGCAAACAATGTTGCGTAACTACCAGGCGTAGATTATATTGCAAAAAACTGGGCACTAGCCATGATGTGAAAGGCTTTGCCATTGGTTCATTTCTGGAAGAGCAATTGATGACCTCTGTTAGGAAAACATTAAAAACGCTGGTCTGATCAGAGCAAAACTGATCGATTTCTAGCGAAATTTGCCCTGAAAATAACCCTAAAATCTGCCGTTTTTTTACAGATTGCTTTCCAGCCAAGTTTGCCCCGAAAATTCGCGCAAAATTCCCGCGAAATCAGCTGATTTTCCACAATTTTGTCCCTAAAAATCCTGCGAAATTTGACTTTTTTTTCCGTGACCTATCGATCAGAAGCCCTGTCAATAGTCACTGACCTTGACTCAATGACCTTGGTTGATAAAATTCCCCGTCAAAGAGTTTTTAGTCTGGCTGCATGGTAACTGGCTAGATTTGTTACCCACAACGGTAACAGGCCTAGCAATCTTCCTAGAAAACTCTGTAGAAAGGGAACCATATGAACAAAACTCAAGACAGAGACTTGTGAGAAAAGAAAAATATTTTCAGAACAGTCTGTTTGCCACCCTTTTTTTATGGCCTGCAACAGCTTTACAGATCAGGATATTATTCAAGGTTTGTAATTAAACTAAGAGCAAATATTATCAAGAAAGCTACATGGCATGTAATGATTCATATTTTTTGGAGGAGAAGATGACAGTGGTGTAGGAGTAGAGGAGTGAGTGGCAAGAGTGCTTACTAAGAACTCAGCTCCGATTTGATCTACTTCTTGTACACTGTGTTGATAGCGTGGTGCACTCGATGAAGATATTGCTTTAATTGCGAAATGTCAAAGTCTAAGTAACAAGTTGGATATGCTAATTTACTGCACATTGCAAATGCACGTGCAACAAGCTACGTATGCTAATGAGTTACATGTGAACGTGCAACACCTTTCCTTTCATGAAAAAAAAGAAAAAATAAAAAAATAAAATAAAATGAACATAAATGAATAAAGTCACGAAACACACGATACAGAGTAACAGTTTGTGCTATGGCGTAATCCATGAGATAAGTCAAAGTACTTCATGTCTCGATGTCTCAAAGCTATGCAAGTGTTCAACTAATGTTCATTACGTAATCTTTAAATCTGGAGGGTAACTTCCGGTTCCTAGACGACCTCCGCAGCACGATTTCCGGTGATGCATGATGTTCAGGGTTCACGTACTCGGGCTGCTCCACCTGTTCTGTTCCACCGCTGTTTGGACTTGAGGGGTCGTCCACCTGCTCAGATGTATCTGATGCTACATCTGTGTCGATTGATACCGATTCACTGTAGCCGCGCACCGGATCGGTGGATGCTTTCCTAATTTGTGCGTGATTCCGACGAACAAGCCCCAATGGAGTACTTAAAGTGCACGATCTTGGCGCAGGCTTGTTAACCACCTCACCATGTATCCAGGGTTTGCTTCTGTTCCTCGGGCTCGGTTTCACGAAGACTCTCTCGCCGATTGCAAATTCACTGAGCTGCTTTGATGCTCGTTTGTCATAGTGGGTCTTGGCCTTTTGTTTCCTTTCCGCAATGTTCTGGGTCACTACACTTGGCACTGTTAGTTGTGGTTGGAGTTTGCTTGTAGCCATGGGAATCAGATCCCGGAGTCTTCTAGACATCA